CCCCTCCCCAGCTGTGCTGCTTCTCATCCCTGCTCTCAGCTTCTCATGGTGCCTAAATGGGAAGGGATCGTGGAACGGTTTGGGTTGGAAGGGGTCTCAAATCTCTTCCAGTGCCACCTCCTGCCATGGGCAGGGACAGCTCCCACTGGCCAGCCTGGCCTTGGCTACTCCCAGGGATGGGGAGTCACTCTGAAATGGAAGAGTTTGGAAAGCCATGAAACCACTTCTCCACATGCCAGCAGTGGCTGAGTGTGGAGATCCCAGTCAGGGAGGAGAAACCACGGAATTGTTTCCCTGCACTCGATGCTTCCATTCCTTTCAGGCTGAAGGAAAGCTTTGTAGTGACCAGCAGCCAGGACTGCACCATCAAGATCTGGAACATCCCAGAATCTCTCACTTCCAAAGCAAAAGCAGCTTTGATCTCCAGCCCAGAGCCCCTCCATGCCAGGGTGACTGAGAGGGGCCATGACAAGGTACAGCTCCACCTGATCTTTCAGTTCCTCAGTCTCCCTCCTGTGCTGCAGCCTCTGTTTGTTCTGTGTCCCACACACAGAGCTGAGTCCTGACCCTCTTTCTCCTACTCTTGTGGCTTCCCCAGGACATCAACAGCGTGGCAGTGTCCCCCAATGACAAACTGCTGGCCACAGGCTCACAGGACAGGCTGGCCAAGCTCTGGTCCTGCTCTGACTGCTCCCTGCTGGGGGTTTTCTCTGGGCACAAACGTGGAATCTGGTGTGTGCAGTTCTCCCCTGTGGATCAGGTCTTGGCCACCTCCTCAGCTGATGGGACCCTGAAGCTTTGGGGACTTCGGGATTTCAGCTGCCTGAAGGTGATGAGAACTTTGCCTCTTGCCCTGGGCAAAACCTTGGGGTTTGTTAAGGATCCTTCCAAAATTTGGAGCTTTTTTTCCTTTGGGCTTTATGAGGAAATTGGATCCTTTTGGGTCTCCCTGAAGGCCTGGCACTGCTGAGCTTCCTTTTTGTTTTGCAGACCTTTGAAGGCCACGATGCCTCCGTGCTGAAAATCATCTTTGTGAGCCGAGGGGCTCAGCTGCTCAGCAGGTTTGTGCCTGCCCGGGGATCTGGGGAGATTCCAGAATATTCCAGGGAATATCTGAGCTCATCAGCAGCACCAAGAGGGAGCAGTCTGGTGTCCAAAGAATCTTTGGGAAGATTTATAGCAAGATGCCATGTTTAGGCCAGGCTTTCTGTAGAGGTTATTTTAATCTTGTTGTTCCATGGATTCCATGTGGCTGCTGTGGCAGTGCTGGGATGGGACAAACACAGCAGACAAAGCTAAGGGTGCATCTTCCCCTCCACATTTTGGGTTAACTCTGCTCCTGTTTGGAAGGAATTAGGATGGGACAAGTTCCTCTGATATTCGAGGTGGGACAGAGCAAGGATGGATCTGTCCAGTGATTCCTTCTGTTGTGTTTCTCTTCCAAAAGTGGATCTGATGGGCTCTTAAAACTCTGGACAATTAAAACAAACGAGTGTGTGAAAACATTAGACGGTCATGAAGATAAAATCTGGGGCCTTCACTCCAACAAGAAGGATGACATGGTCGTGACAGCCTCCAGTGACTCCTGCATCACCCTGTGGCAGGTACAGCACAGGGCTTGGCTCCTCCCTGGCTTAATAATTGGGGTAATTGCAGAGCTCAGGGTCTGAGGCCTTGTTTTTCATGTGTTCTCCTTGGCTGCAGTTTGAAATTAGGTCAGCGAGGCTGCCTGTGGGGTTTGGGGGTATTTTTTGGCCATCCTGTATTTCCCCAGAGCAGCAGCTGAGTCTCAGCACTGGAGCTTTGAAGGGAAGCTGGAAATTGCTGGATTTAACATTTAAATGAGTTGACCCTGAGATTTTGTTGCAGAAATTGGTCTCTACATCACTTGATGGCTAAATCAAAACCCTTCTGTATTAAAACAGGATTTGATAAAGTTTTATCCTGTTTTTTTTTTTTTAATAGGATGTTACTGAAATTGAGGAGAAAGAAGCACAGGCTAAACAGGAGGAGCAGATAATGAAGTGAGTATTTTTATTTATGAGATAAAGAGCTGTGAAAGGCAAACCTTGCAGTGGAACTGTGGAGCCACCTGGTCTCAATACTGGAGTGAGAGAATTGAGTCATTTATTGACAAGCACCAAAAACTTCTTAACTGTTATTGCCAAATCTGCTGCTTTTTGTGTAATTTTGGTTTTTTCCACCACTCAAAGATTAGTCTTATTCTTGCCCTGATTTGTTTTCCAGAGAGCAAGAGCTTTCTAACCTTCTCCATGAGAAAAGGTACCTCAAAGCTCTGGGCCTGGCCATCTCCCTGGACCGGCCACACACGGTGCTGACAGTGGTCAAGGGTGAGTCCAGAGCCTGCTCTGAAGCATTTCCTGCCCTTTCCCCTTTCCTGTTCACTTTTCCAGCTAATTCAAGGCTCCAATAATTAGTCTGAAAGCCTCAGTTTTTCCTGAGTGACCTCACCCAGGGTGTCCCTGCTGTCTTTTCTCTCTGCAGCCATCCTGAAGGAGCCTGAGGGGAGGAGGCAGCTGGAGGAGAACATTGTCCGGCTCCGAAAGGATCAGAAAGGTTTGTGGCAGGATTAAAGTGCTGGAAGAGGGTCAGAGGCTCGTTCTGTCAGCTGAAATTAGAATCCTACAATCCTGGAATGGTTTGGCTTGGGAGATTGTCCAGTTCCACAGGCAGGGACACCTTCCCCCAGACCAGGACGTGGCCTTGGACATTGCAGGGATGGATGGGGAGCCTCAGGTGCTGGGTGGGAGCTGAGGCTCTGTGAGAACCCAGGGATATTCTCCAGTGTGGAATCTGCTGTGTGCCAGCCTGGCCAGGCTTCCTTCCCCCCACAGAGGCAGTGCTGGGGTTCCTGGTGACCTGGAACACCAACTCCAGGAACTGCCACGAGGCCCAGGCTGTGATGGAAACGCTGCTGAAGCACGAGGCACCCGACAGCCTCCTGCAGTTCTCTGGAATTAAATCTGCTGTGGAGTCCCTGCTGCCCTACACAGGTGAGGCTCTGTGGGGACAGGGGGGGCTGCAGGTGCTGACTGGGATCAGAGATCCTGGAATGGTTTGGGATGGAAGGGACATGTTAGTAAATCCACACCTGCTATGGCAGGGTCACCTTCCACCATCTCAGGCTGCTCCAAGCCAAATCCAACCTGGGACACTTCCAGGGATCCAGGAGCAGCCACAGCTTCTCTGGGAATCTGTGCCAGGGCCTCTCCACCCTCCCAGGGAGGAATTTTTTCCCAATATCCCATCTAACCCTGCCCTCTGGCAGTGGGAAGCCATTCCCTGTGTCCTGTCCCTCATCCCTTGTCCCCAGTCCCTCTCCAGCTCTCCTGGAGCCCCTTCAGTCCCTGGAATGTTCCCTTCTCCAGGCTGGACATTGCCAGCTCTCCCAGGCTGGCTGCACAATCTGAGGCTGGGTTCTGCTCCCTCCTCTCCCCTTCCCCGTTTTTCTGAGCCCTTCCCTCCTTGCAGAGCGTCACTTCCAGAGGCTGAGCCGCCTGCTCCAGGCTTCCACCTTCATCGAGTTCATGTGGCAGAACATGAGGCTGGCAGATGTGGCCCAGCAGGACCAGGGGACTCTGTGACACACCCCCCCTCTCACCAGGATGGCAGCTGGATTTTTAGTTTCCTGTATTTTATAATAAATGTTTTAATTTCTAAACCGTGTCCAGCATCCAATCTCCTCAGGGATGAATGAAAGGAAAAGATCATTTCTGGGGTTTGTGTTTTCACACCCTGAAGTTTCAGACTCACAAACAGCAGTTTGGGGAAAAAAAGGCAGAATCCCAACAAGCAGTTGGGATTTAAAGGATTCATAGAGCTGGGAAGTCTGGACCAAGGCAGGGGTCTCACCTGTGCCCACCCCAAATTTTGCACCCCAGAGGGAGAGAAGCACAATTTAAATTCCCCCAAATAGCAAATTTTAAAAGCATAAAACACAAGCAGGCTTCAGAGATATTTACATGTGTTTTATTTCATAGTCACAAATGTATAAAATTCAAACAATACAAACACCTCAAGTTCTTTTTTATAAATATATTAGCAAATACCCGGGAGAACAAGTACAATTAAAGTCATCAATGTAGAGAAAAGTCTTAATTTTCCTCTAACTCTTTTTCTAACTCATTTCTAGCACAAGAATTTAGGATTAGAAATGTGAGTTTCAGTAACTACCCAGTCCCCTGGAAAGAGGAAAGTTTTGTCCATAAAAGTTCTCTGTTCCCAGCCCCAGTTGGGACACAAGCTGTGATTATCTGTTTGTGTTCCTGTGCCTGCACAGACATGGCTGGAGGGAACAGGGATGAGGTTTTTTATTCTCACCACCAGTCAGCAGATCCAGCCCCTCCTGTATTTCATGGCCTCTACACTAAACGATATAAAAACATCCCCAAACCGACACCAAAAGTCAAAAAGTTGAACAAATATCTATAAAACAGGGGGTTCAGTAAGGCCATCACACAGGGGCATCATCCCATCCCTCCCCAGTCCCGTAAGCAGCTCAGGGTGCCAGGGGTGACTGAGGCACTGTGGTGCCACTCCTTTGTCCTCCACGGTGTGCCAGCTGTGCCAGCTGATCCTGGTGTGGGGAATAACCCAGCCAGGGCTGTGAAATGAACACCTGAGTTCCTTCCCAGTGACCTCCAGCTCTGCCACATCCTCCAGTGACCCCACTCAGTTCTCCCCCAGGAGCTCCCTGTGGAAGCTGCAGCAGCAGTGGTGCCGCCCAGGGAGCTCATGTCCCTTGGAAAGGGACAATCCCAAACCCTGAAGCTGCCCAGGGAGGTGTGGATGTGTTTGTGTCCCTTGGGAAGGGACAATCCCAATCCCTGATGCCTTAGTGCTACTCACAGCTCCCAGGGGACTCCAGCAAGCGGGGTGTCAGGGCTGTGTGTCCCCTCCCCAGTGACACTGGGGTGTCAGGGCTGTGTGTCCCCAGTGACACTGGGGTGTCAGGGCTGTGTGTCCCCTCCCCAGGGACACTAATTCCTGCCGGGGATGGGCAGGCCGGGCTGTGGGGCCGCTTGCTGCAGGGCTCTCTTGGTGACGGTGCTGCAGCGCTGCAGGATCTCGTGGGCCGAGGGCCGGGCTGGCACCTTGGGGACACCCGTGGCCAGCTCGGGGTCAGCGAGGGACGAGCTGAGCTCGGTTCTGGAGGATTCCACGAAGGCAGAGTCGCTGCTGTCCCTGGCACCGAGCCGTGGGGATTTGCTGCTGTGCGGGGCCGGGCCAGGAGAGCTCGGGGCCTGCTCCACCTCGGGCAGGGATCGTGACAAGTCGGGTTTCCAATCCCCGCCATTGCTGCTCCCCGGGCTCAGGGAAGAGCTCTCCAAATCCAAATCCAGATCCAGCTGTGGGGTGGAGCTGGCCCTGGGCAGAGAGTGGGATCTGCTGGGCTGGGCCACAGGCTCGGCCCGGGGCTGTGGGGAGCTGAGGTTCGGGGTGGAGGAGTTGAGGCTGCAGCTCAGGATGGTCTGGAGCTTGTGGTGAGGGTTCTGGTAGGGCCTGAGGCACAGAGAGGGCATGTAGCCAGTGCAGCCATTGTACCTGAGGGCAGAGATGGGAAGAACACTGAGAAAACCCTTCCAGCACCTCAGTATTTACCTAGATTTGAATCCATCCCACCCATAGCACTGAATCCTCCCAAATCTACCAAGGGCCGAGGGGGGAGAGCATTTGGGGAAGCAGGAGGGTGCTGTACACAGGGTGTGAGGACAGGGAAACCATCCCCAGCAAGGACATGCAGCTCAGGGGGCTCCTGTGCATCCCACAGCAAGCAGCTCCCTGGAGGAGCCAGGGTTTTGGGAAAGCCTCCTTACCTGATCAGCCACCAGCCATTGTGGGATCTCCTGAGCACCTCCACGACCACCCCCTGGTTCAGTGAGAGCTCATCTGAGTTCTGAGCCTCGTAGGCCTGCACCACAAAGTACAGGCTGCCTGCAGAGACACAGAGAGGTTGGGTTTGCCTTGTGGAGAAAATGCTCTGATCCCTGGGAGAGATCAGCCCAGCTGCAGGGCAACTCCCTGGAGTGACTGGTTTGCTCAGGGACCCCAATCTGATCCATTTAAGGTGGATATAAAGAAGTCTTTTACAAAAAGGGTGTAGAGACCCTGGTAGAGGTTGCCCAGAGCAGCTGTGGCTGCTCCTGGATCTCTGGAAACGTCCAAGGGGCTTGGAGCAACCTGGGACAGTGGAAGGTGTTGGGGTTGGACTGGATGGGCTTTAAGCTCTGTTCCAACCCAAACCACTCCATGATTCCAGACCCACAGGTGGTGGCAGAGCCAACCAGAAGAGTCAGAGGTCCAGGCAGGGACTGCAGGCAGTGGATTAGGTAGTGGGGTATTGCAGAGCTCATGTTTTGAAGGAGGAACAGACTCACCCTCCTCGTTGGAGCTGAGGGCAGTCTGGATGTCCTCACAGGCATCGAGCTCTTCCAGGTATGAGGCTGGGAACCAGGCTAGCTGCTTGTCTGCATTTTCCACCAGCCACCAGCCTACAAAGAGGAAGAACACCCAGATTTTAACAGCCTGCAAGTCAAGACATGACAACAATCCCTGGGTAGGGGACACAAGAGACAGGAGGGACATTCACTGTCCCCCCAGGTAAGCACACAAGTGACACTCCCTCAGCATTTGCCCAGCTATGAATCCATCTGCCCATCCACCCCTGACACTGAATCCTCTCAAACCCACCAGTCATGTCCTTGATTAGCACTTCCACAATCTCCTTCTGAGCCACTGTGAAGGGTTTGTTCTTTGTGTCTTTGGTTTCGAAGGCCTTGATGCAGCGGTAGCTCTGTGACGCCTGGGGGAGGGTGATGGAGAGGGGCTGGGGGCTCTTCTCCCTTCTGAATACTGATGGCATGATCACAACGCTGAAAAGTGAAGGTGCATGTCAAAACCTCGGGTGAAAGGTTGAGTTTAGCACTGATTTTGGTAAAATCATGTCTGCAGTAGGATGAGGAAAGCTTCAGGCATCAGAAACAAAATGAACGTGGATTGAACACCCAGCTGAACTGGCCTGGAGTGTAACTGGTGTTTCCCTTCTATCCATATCCCAACGTTTCTGCTTCATGAAAGAACAAAAAAATACAACTCCTATTTCATACCTGTTTTCAGGGAAGGATGGATCGAGGTCTTGAGTCTGTGCCTTGAAAAACTGATTCACCTCTTCCCCCCGGGAGATTTTCACATCTGTTTTCAGCAGCTCCTGGGAATACGTTTCCAGCAGTTTCAGGATCTCCAGGCACCTGTTCAGCTTCCCACCCTTCCTCTGCTGCATAGTTATACCTTTAAAATACCAAAGGCACAGTTGGGATAGGATCTGGATCCCAGGGAGCAGCATCTTTTCCCTGAACACCAGGGTGCCCTCACCCACCACCCTTCCTGCCCAAGCCCAAACTGTACAAAGTCACTGTCCCTGCCTCCCTGATAGGATTTTTTTAACATCTAAAATTTATCTTTTTTTTCACATGTAAAGTTTCAAGAAGCTCTAGGTCAATATTTGAAGTGTAGCATTAATTTGCCAAGTGCAGCTATCTATTAAAAAAAACCCCAACTTTTCTGGGTCATTTTAAGTGTGTGCTAGACCCAGACATGCTGATGTGACCCAGTGGTGCCATGGCAGGAGCAGGAGTGAGCCCCTGGTCTGTTCCAGAGGAAGGTCAGACTCAGAGGTTTGTCTTTCTCATGGGTTATGATTTCTTGTGTTTGTTGGTCCATCAGAGATTTGTCCTTACCTTTAAACCTGGGTAAACTCCTCAGTGACCCACTCTCAGTGGGGAATTTTCTCTTCAGCTCTTTCTAAAAGCAAAGAGAAGGAGAGAACAGTGATTCCTCACAGCTGACACAGTCAGGCTCCTTTCCCTCCCCAGGACACGAATCTTGACATTTGAGGAATTGAAAATTCACTTACATGGAATTTCTTAAAGTCTTCAAACGTCCTGTAGATGAGAATGTTGTTCTGATCCGACCAGGACACAAACATCATGTAGTTCTGGGAAAAGAAAAGCAGTTTAATCACAATGTTCAATTTTGGATGCTTTCAGGCAATCAGTATTTGCTGTGATTTAGTTGAGGCTTTTAACATCACATTAAAAAATTAATTGAAACATTAAAACTACAAAAATATTTCCTTAATTTCATAGTCCCAAATGGGTAATTATTGCTGAAACCAGGAAGATTGTATGGTGCTGTGACAAAAAGAGAACAAAACCCAAAAATTAAGGCCATGAAAAAACAAGTCCTCTTGTCCTAGACCCTTAGGTTCCGATCCCAACACTGTGGGAGATGACCTAAATATCCCTGGAAAAATAACTCAAAATCTTCAAGTCTCCCAATTTGTAAATTATATTTAAGGAGGGAAAAAAAATTAAAAAAATTAAAGTACCTTCTGTTTTCTGCACTGCATGAAGCCAACAGCTTTCACATTCACGGGGTACCTTTGGCAGCTCATCTTCCCCACGGCTGCTGCTCCTCCTTCACAGGGAGCCAGAGGGGTGGGAGGGAAGGATGGAGGTGAAGGGATGAAAACTGGAAGGATGAGAGCTGGAGGGATGGAACTGGAAGGATGGAATTGGAAGGATGAGAGCTGGAAGGATGGAATTGGAAGGATGGAACTGGAAGGATGAGAGCTGGAAGGATGAGATCTGCAAGGAGCAGAGATGCGGCTCCAGCCCCGAGAGCCGAGGTTAAATACTCTGGAGAAGGAGGCAGGGCAGAGGTGTTTCCGAGCTTCCTCCTCCGCCCAGCCAGCGGCAGAAGTTCCGTGATTTGCCAAACTACCTTTTACCTTTCCCCCCGCTTTTCACATGCAAATACTGCCGGGTGCAGGCGGGACACAGTTCAGGGCGCTGGGGATGAGAAACACATTTTTTTTCATCACATCCTTACTAAGCAGTGCCGGGAAGTGAGCCGGGGCTGTTTGCCAGAGCTGGGTGGAAGGAGGTCACAGGGGCAGCAGCACCTGCCCCGAGAGATTTCCGGGACACCTGAGAAGTTTTTATGGCTGTATTGCAAGGACTCAGCTCACTGCAGTCTCAAAAACTGATTTAGAACATGAGTTGTAAACACAGATCAGGCACCATTTAACGTGAGTAATATTTGTCGCGAATATTTGTTTTTTCCCTGCTTTGTCCCACCTGCCGAGTTACTTTAAATAGACTTTTGAGGGTTTTGTCAATATCTCCATGGAGATGCCGATCTTATGAACAGGCACATCTCCAGGATGTAACTAAAAAACTGAGAGCTCCTCAAGGTGTAAGTATGTGATAAAAATTCAGCTCTGAGTGCTCTGTCCACACCCTCCCAGCCACCAGCTTTTCCTAAGGAGCAGATTCACTGCCCAGAGGCACAGCAGGAGAAATAATTCCAGCCTTGGACAGCCTGTCCTCTCCCTGAACCTCAGGGTTGATGGGCACCGTGTGATCAAACCGCCTCTTCTTTAATAATGCCTCAATGGAACCATTATTACTATAATTATCTTTATCTTTATCATTGTTGGAACTCAAACTGAAAGGCTCAGCCGTGCCTCCCTTTCATTTCCCAGCTACACCTGGTGGTTCAAACCCTCAGCAACGGCTGCAGGTGATTTTTTAATCAAACAAAAAACAAACCAAAAAAACAACTTAAAAAAGAAAACAACAAAACAACAAAAAAAAAACAAAAACAAAAAAAAAAGAACCCAAAACCAAAAAACCCACCACAACAACAAAAACAAAACTAATTAAAAAAAAAAAAAAGAAAGAAAAAAAGAAAATAAAAACCCAGAACTGGACCAGGGAGCCAAACCAGATTCCTTCTGGAAAACACAGCCAGGAGGGTCTTGGTTTGTGTTCCATGAGCACAGGAGGCTGCTCCCACACAGCAGTGTGGCAATTTCTGAGGAAAAGGAAAGCAGGTTTATTGCAGTGGGATTTATTGCTGCTGGATATCTGTCCTGCATTAAAAAGGGAAAGTTATCCAAAGAGCACTTTTGTTCAGTGTGGATTTTGGAGAGAAAATCTCTCCAACGGCATCTCCAAAGCATCTCGTGGCTCAGGAAGCCCAAGAGGAGCTGCCCTGGGGAAAAGGGATGTGGAGCAGCTCCCTGCCCTCCCCAGCCTGCAGTCAGAACCTTCACCCCTCTCTTACAAAGGTTCCAGCCAGAGCATGTGCTGGTAAATCTCCCTGGATCAAAGAGCGAGGATTTTATGGAGTCAGAGGAAATCACTTCATCCAGCAGGTTTATCTAGAAAGTTCCAGTCTCTGAGGTGCCAAAACTCTTTGCTGATTCCATGTCCTCAAACCTGCACTCCTTGGCTTCTCGTTGGCAGCCAAACCAGAGCCAAGCCCACCTTCACATGGCTTTAAGTGGCTCTTGGATATTTTTGTGATCAAGACTCCCAGTGAAGCACCTGGGCTTGGTTTCCTGTCTCGGAGCAAACACAAACCACACCGTATTTCCAAGAGTGTAAAGGTTTAAGTGTATTTATCCTGAGTGGGAAAAGGCAAAGACAAGGAAAGCCTTGGAGGAGCTGCAGGATGAGGAGATGGAGGCTCAGAGAGCACCTTGATCTGCAGGTGCCATAAAAACCAGAAGAGTAGGAAACAGCCTTGGTCAAAGGCTTTGCTGTGTTTCATGGTTGTCAGGGAAATCAGGCAGAAAGGGGGGTGTGGAGAACACCTAATGGAATGTTACAACAGGAAGGTGAAGCTACACAGGGGTTTACAAATCACCCGAGGCAGAAGGAGCAGCCATGCAGTTTGGAGAGCTGATCTTCTGGAAAAGATTGGACTGACTGGGAGATTGCTGGCGATTAGCAGTGTTGTATAAAACCAAATATGAGCAAAACTTCTCAGAACTCAAGAATTGGTTATTTGAGAAAACATTTTGTGGAAGTGAAGTTCACTGTGACACAGAACTGAGGTGCAGGGAGGGAGAAGAAAAGCCTGGCACCCCTGGGAGTCATCAGCACCTCTGGAATCACCTGCAGGCTCAGTTCCAGCTCTGCAGCTGTCACAGCAGTATCGGTGCCCCGCAGGTGTCAGGTGTGATGTCACGAAACTCTCTGCTCCAGAATGACCTCAGGAGCCACGTCGTGTCTGCAGTGACACCGCCCACGACACCAGATGGCCTTGGATGGGGACAGTGCTCCTCAGAGCTCCCCACACCTCGCAGCCATGCCAGGGCCATTCCTGGCAGGAAGGATGGCTAACCCCACTTCTCTGCTGGATACATTTGAACACACTTATAGAAAACAAGACAAACATTGTTTTTCTGGCATTATCAAGGTTACTTTGTGTCTTTCTACAGCTTCTGTGTCATCCTGCCATAAATTAGTGCCCACGCATGGGTAATAATTAATGGCAGGGGAGGAGGGGCTGGCCCAGAAAAAGTGAGACTTAGCAAGAATTGCTGGATGCTGCTGTTTCATCATTGATATTTATTTACACAGCTCTGAGGGCAGCAGTTAATTTTCCTTTCGTTGTTTTACAAGGTACCAAAGAGATCATGAATTAACAGGTAAATGTAGGAGGGCACTGCCCAGCTTTGCACGAAACACGGGATTTTTTCCTGTAATGGCTCCCATCATTTTGCAGTCTGCTCCAAGAGAGCCTCCTGCACCTCACCAAGGGGAAGTTCTGCTACTCAAGGAGCATCACTGCAGCCATAAACAGCTGCTGTGGGGACAGAAACGTGCTTGTGTCACGGCAGGTGACTGAGGCATTGTCACAGGGAGTCACACCAGACTGCCTGCCCCAGTCTGGGAACACACAGGAGGTCACCCAGAGGCTGCAGGAAGGCTCCACAGTCACCAGGGCTGTCCCACTGAGTATTTCCATCCCTTCCGTGACAAATCAACACACATGCTCTGCTTTTCTTTTCATTTCAGTGTGGATTAGGAGGAACTTCTGAGAATCTGAGTGCACAGATGCTCAGGGGCAGCCAAAGGCAGCTCCTCCCCAGCTCCTCCTGAGCCATTTTCCAGGTCCAGCAAGAAACAGCCTTGTCCCAAATCCTTGGAGAGAAGCAGCTGGGTTATAACAGCTTTCCCACACACAGAGTCATGTCTGGGCTGGTGGGTGACCTGTGCCCCTCATGGCTGACCCTCATGGGGACTCTGCATCAGGGATTTCTCCTTCTGTGGCCAGCACAGGGAAGGCAAAAGGAGGAAAAGTCCTCAAACCACCCTCAGGACACTGCAGCTGTGAGGAAGAGATACAAAAAGGAGCTGTGGGCACAGCCAAGGGAGGCCTGGAACAAAGCTGGTGGAAAAGCTTCATCTTTCCCTCGCTCACCTTCAGGATCAAAACCTGCCCTTTACTGTTCTTGAAGGTCACCTGCGATGACACATGACCTATCAGCACCTTTAATGAAAGCCCCAGATGCTAAAAGCCGATTTTAAAAGTACAAAGAGGTTTTAGACTTCTAATAAGTAGAGAAACAGACCTTTATTTAAAAAGAATAATGAAAACCCAGACACTGGAGTTGACAAAAGTCTCCTTCACCTCATGAACAAAGGAAGCAGTTGAACTTTCACACAGGCTGGGATGAGAGATTTTACAGTAACTAATCCAGAAGGAAGTATTTAATTTCATCCTCATTTCAGCAGCTGCTGCAGGCACTAAAGCATTTCTCTGTGGCAGACTCAACCCAGCAACCCTTTGAGGTTCAGCTCTTTCCCATTCCATCACGGAGCTTCCCAAGGTGCACATCCCTCTTCAGTGCAGGGCGTCACTCACTCCTCACAGGCAGCTTTATTTCAGGATCCAAAATCACAGCATCGCATCAAACTCCCTCAAACCTCATTCCCGAGGTGTCATTTTCTTTGCAAATCCCTTGGGATGGCCCCACCCAGCCCAGGGAGAGCTGTGCCCATCTCCAGGGTTTGCTCAATGCTAAGGTTATGCACAGCGGACTGGCTCCTGTTTACCAAGCATTTGTTGCCATGATTTCATAGCTCTTTTATAAAAGTGACATGTTTTGTTAAGGTTATGCAAAGGACAAAAGTGTGATTCAAGAGGGAATCTTCCAGAGAGGTTGAGAATGTAACTTAAGCTGCTTCAAGAAGAGGAGGTTCCTCGAATTATTTTCTGGGGAAAAAGTGATATTTGATGAGTGCATGGCACGAGGCCAGAGCTGTGTGGACATGCTGGGACCCAGGAACGGGGTGTGAAGGAAGGGAGGAGAAAAGCAGGGTGGAGTTTCCAAAGGGGTTTGAGGCTCTGCAGAGCACAGCCTGCCCTACACATTCCTAAATCCGGAGTGGGGGAACATCCCAGCAACACCAATACAGCCAACAGCAAGCACAGAGAACCCGGAGAAATATTGTTTTCACTTGGGGAAAATCTGCTCTTACATCATGCTAAATATAGTAAATTGATCAGAGACAAGATCATTGTGTTCCTTGCAGATTAGTCAGAGATGCTCATCCCACTCTTTTCCCTTTCCTCATTCCCCAAGGCCATCGAGGAGCAGAGTATGC